AAATGGTGTAATCGTATTTAAACGATATAATGGTTTTTAAATAAGAAAAGTTGAAACGATGATCTTTGTTCAACTGAGGTTTTTACTTTCAAAATGTATTTTTCATTCAAAAATTAAAACTAAAAATTAAAACTATAAACATAATTGTTTCCTAGATAATGTCTTTACTTTGAACAAGAGTCAATGCTGTAAATTGCAAAATAACTTTACAAAGCATTGGCAACAAATGCCTTTAAAGAATACCATCTAAAAATATACATGGCCCATTGAGGAAGCACTGTTAATTTGATGATAACTATAACTGGGCACTTTACTCTTGACATTAATACAAAATATATTATTAAAAGGATACTTTTATCATTGTTAGGTGATCTTACTTCAACTCATAAAAGAAGTAATCTCGTACTGACAAAATACAGAAAAGGATGAAAAAAGGAAAATGATTTGTTCATTTCCGAATTTGTATAGAAAGAAGAAACATTTGTATTGGATTAGATTGTTAAGAACATATCAATGAACAGATTTTATTAAGACACTTATAACGTAATAAGAATAAGTATGTTTCAATACAATGTTATACAAAGTAATTATAGCAATGTTTATATACGTTTTGCTATAAGAATTACAATCACTTTCATAAGATATTTAGGTACTTAAGCTGCAATCCCATATGGTATTTAGTTTAAACTACAATCCCTAAATACAGTTTAAATCTTTTTGTTTTGAGTACATAAAAGAGTATCTTTGTTTATTTATTAAAATTATTTTTTTATAGTCGATGTATGAACACTTGTGAATTTTTGTTTATGGGATATTTATTTGTAATTATTTTAAGAAAATTTTAGAAAATAATCATTTATATATTACTACTAGCTTGTTATGAAAATATTTTTTATTAAAAATGAGTTCGTTTATCTAAATGAACAATTGTAGAAGATGTCAACCTGTATTTCTGAAGCAATACTCCCCAGATACTGAAATTTATTTACACGTTCAACGGTCTCCGTTTCTAATTTCAAAGGTTCATCAACTCGATTGTTTATTCTGACTTCTTTTGTTTTCTGTGTATTGGTTTTTAGTCCAACTTTGCAGGACGCTATACACAGGTTATTAAGTTTTTGCTGCATATCATTAAGCCGGTGTGACAATTCACGCCGGCGATTTGTATATGTAACATATTTCTTTATATTATTCCTTGTAATATATAGTATAAATAAGGTTTCGAAGTGTGTAGAGATCTTCATCGAGGCTGAATCAAACTTACAATCATTGATTGGGTATGATCCCATTAGCTTAATTAGGTTATCAAACGTCGATTTTGTAAGTATATTTGAACTATTTACTATATTAAAAACGACTTAAAAAAATAAATCATAATAAAAGTGATGTTCCCTATGATAATGAGAATACGCTTAGCATATCATAAAAATATGTACGCCTTATATCTTCACTGCATGGAAAGAAAATGTGGTCCATATAGAAATGTGTCAACGTTGAAATTCCAGAAATATGTTATAAATTTTTTTAATATATACACATATCTCACCAATATCTAAAGAGCATGAGATTCGCAACAAATATATAGGTGTAAGCTCATGTGTATTACTAAGTTGAGATTAAAAACTTGCAGCAATAACTTTTACGCACTTATGTCAAATTATAAATTTTAGATACTTTTCATATATAATATATTACCCAAAATTGGTTAATATATAGAATTTATACATTTTCTTATTTAAATTTAAAACCCTTTCTATTCGTTAACGTTTTAATAGTCAGACAAAACAAAACCTTCAAATCATTGATATATATGTATATATATACAATTTAAACGAAACTTTAACTTTAGAAAGTAGTACTAAATATGACTTGAAGTGAAGGGAAAGGTGATTTTTATAACCTTAACTAAATGTTCCTTCAAAAAGTAATAAATACAAATTTTTTACACTTACCTCAATTCCATTATCCAAAGCAGATATATTAAAAATTTATTACGATTTTTGTACATTTCTTCACTATAGACGATTGTAATCTCATTATAATGTTTTTTTCCAATTTAGCTAATATTTCTATGATTACCAAAGATACTTTAGAACTATCTTTTGTCAAAACTTTTCACTACCACTTTTGATATCATAGTAAATTCACATTTATAAACATAATAATTATAAACATAATTATTTAGTAATCACACCAAGATATTCTTTATTATTAAAAATTGTGAAATATTTCCATAAAAAGAACACAAACTAATATTGTTTAGATAAAAGTAATTTAACGCCGATTTCTTAAGTAAGTAAGCAAAAGCAAATTATTCAGTTAATTTGACACTTTTATGAGCCATTGCAGTGCTATTTGGTTTAGTTGAATTTTTTTCCACTTTTTGTTGTTGTTTGATTTATAATATTAATTCACACTTTAATTCACAACCAAAAACTAAATGAAAATAAAATAAATCCCAGATTAAAAAAAAATCGCTTATGAATGGAAGTCGATCGCGCGGAGTTTCTTGATCATATATAATTATGAAACGAATAAATTGACGATGATGAAGACGATGAAAACATAATTTTTTTACACTCGTTAATGGACGCATAAAAAAAGATATAAAAATTATAACACAAGCTTCACACGCTCACTAAACTGAAATGATTTGCATAAATCAAGCTCCATTTCGGTGATGAAAAGTTACCCATCAGCGCAATCCATTGTGGATTTGTCGGTTTGTAAAACTTCACAGAGTCCACACGTCCAGTCGCGCATGTGAACATCGCATTCTCGCAGGCACTCACAAGTTCTGATTTATATATATTAAGCCTGGATGCTCGTTTGTATCTTGTTCACGCGAATGCTACATAATTTGCTCTTATTTAATATCTTTATTTTTTTTTTTTATTTTTTTTAATATTCCTTTTTATTTTCGGATTATTTAAATGTATGATAAAGCGCCGCTTCTGACTGTCACCTCAAAGCTGTTGGTGCAACGATAAACATAATCAGCACAGCAGGTGAAAACTACCAACCAACCAAAAAAAAAAAAAATAAACTAATAATAATATAATTAAAATGTTAATTTGTACGCGGTAAATGATCTAAGAACGGCTTTTAATAAACCAAAAAAAA